CTTCTTAACTGTTTGAACTTCATCAGCAGATACCTGACACTTCTTAGCAATGTCATCCACCTTTTCGGCTGTTTCTGTCAACTTTTTTTGCTGTAATCCAAAGGCCCCCTCCATGGAGTCAAGTTTTTGATTTATTTTTTGCAGCTCTGCCAGCAGATGACGAGCAAATTCATTCTCTGGTTGATTGGCAGCAGCTACTGCAGAGACTGGGCTAGGACAGGAAGTCCCGCCCATCCTCTTGGGCAGCTTTTCTTGTGCTTTCCTCGCCATGTTAGAAGTTTGTTTATACTTTGAAAGTATTCGCCACAACTTCTCCAAATGGCTCTCCAGCCACCGCTTTTTCTTCCCTCCCAGAAGGTAAGCTGCTTTTCCCGTCTTTCGCTTCACTCCCCCTTTATAGCTTTTTTCTTTTATAGTCTCTTTTATGGGTGTGGGGGAGTCCCCTCCTCCCTTCTCCGCTTATCCGAGGGGGGGGGAAGCCTTTCAACTGCTCAAAATTTACTACGTCAACTTACAGTTCGCTCACTTTCGTTTTCGGATCAGTCTCTGCCGCTTCACCACTCCGCTCTGCCGGGGGCTTTGCTAAACCCCATTGCGGGGCACAGCGCAGCTGGAGCCGTTTGGGGCAGGGGAGACTTTTGGCGGAGGAGCCTCAATTCCCGGCTTGTGTGCCGGCAAGAGGCATCCCCCAGACTCCCAAATGCGCCCCCTGGTTCGGAGCTCCTTTAACAAGGGCTCCTTAGGATCTCCGCACCGGCGGGATCCCTCCAGACAGCGTGTGGGCGATCCGACTCCGGGAGTTGACCCGAGAGTCGTTCGCCAGGTGCACAGCCATAACCGGAAGTCCCCTTTCAAATCTGTTTGGACAGTATTTTGGTTTAAAAGAAAGAGAGCATTCTCAGGAGCAGAGTTTTTATAGTTGGTACCATGAAATCATTTTTATGTTCTTACTTAGAATTGTAGAACACACAGCCCTGCTAAGCACTGCCAATCAATTAAAAACAAAATATTGAGGGGTTGCTTTTGTTTCTTGCCTGTTTCACTTCATTAATTTTGAGGATAGGTACTGGCAAGGCAGGAGCTGCAGTGGCTCAAGTGGTTAAGACGCTGAACTGCAGGCTGTGGAAGGTCAGTAGTTCAGCAGTTCGAGACCCGGGTGCCGCATGATGGTGTGAGCTCCCATCTCTAGTTCCAGCTCCTGCCAACCTAGCAGTTCGAAAGCAAGAAATTGCAAGTAGATAAATAGGTACCACTTCGGTGGGAAGGTAACAGCGTTCTGTGCGCCTTGGTGTTTAGTCATGCCGGCCACATGACCATGGAAACGTCTTCGGACTTTGAAACAGAGATGCGCACCGCAACCCTAGAGTCAAATTCGACTGGCTTTCGAGCAAGGGAACCTTTACCTTTACTGGCAAGGCATTAAAGTATGGTACAGCAGTCTGGCTTTCATCCTCTTTGAGCTTTCAAATCTAAGAAGCTGCTTTGTAAGAACATAAGAAGAGCCCTTCTGGAACAGACCAGTGGTTCATCTATTCCAGTATCCTGTTTCACACAGTGACCAACCACCTACTTTGGAGGACAAACAGGGCATTGAGTCTGAGGTCTTCCCCTGATGTTGCCTCCCTGCACTGGTGTTCAAAGGTTTTCTGCCTCTGAATGTGGAGGTTCCCTTGAGTTATCATGACGAGTAGCCACTGATAGACCTATCCTCCATGAATCTGTGTAATCCCCTTTTAACTCTGTCTGTCCCTGTGGCCATCACTACATCTTCTCACAGCCAATTCCATATTTTAATCACTCACTTTGTGTTTTAGTGTGAGATGCCATCTTAGTCTGTTAGCTCTAGATAGAACTAATTGGACTATTTCTTTCATATATTGATAATTTATTCTACAGTTTATACTGTATCTAAGTCTGAATCTGTGAAAATTCTGCTGAACAAACTGGGATCAATTATTATTCTTAATGCAGGAGAAGACTGTATACATTTATTATACACACACATACATGCAGAGATTTAAAAACATCTGAAGCTAAACCTGCATAACAGGAAATTTCCTTTTCTAATCCAGGTGTTGTGTCAAATATCTCAATAGATCTCTATTCTACATTTGGTTTTAGGTAAAGACCTTCACAGTAGCAATCGCCACATCCTGATCCAAAGTCTCCAGTACTTTTGAACTCCAAAGCTAAATGAATTATAACAGTCAGAGCCTTTGAAAGCTCTGTTTTTGTTTCTTGGACAGACACATTTTAAGTTTAGTGCAGGAAAATTCATTATAATGAAGTTGTCATTGCTATTTCTTTAGGAACTTAATTCTTGCAGTGCCTTCAGCAAGCACCTAAAGGGGGCAGTGTTAACATTTTTAAATATCTGTCTCTTTCAGAAATCTTGGGTTCTTCAGATACACCATATGAAAAAGGTGTTTTTGACTTGGAAGTAGTTGTGCCTGTAAGGTAAGAAGAGAATTTTTATTGTTAATGAGGAGATGTGTTGAACAAAGATGGCCTTGTAATAGAAAGAACTGGTTGATATTGATGACAGACTAGACTGCAGATCCCTATAGGATCATAAAATGAGAGCTGTCATATCTCTTTTCAGTTACTATGTTTTACCATGCATATGGTTCTCATTTGTGTGTACTGAGGTTCAAGATACATGTGTTGCCCCTTTCAGATAAAATGATGATTGTGCATATCAGGGAACTGTGCATCAGTGCATTTTCTCCCTAAGGGTGGTACATAAGAACATAAAAGAAGCCAATGTTGGATCAGGCCAATGGCCCATCCAGTCCAACACTCTGTCACACAGTGGCCAAAAATACCAGGTGCCATCAGAAAGTCCAGCAGTGGGGCCAGGACACTAGAGGCCCTCCCACTGTTGCCCCCAAGCACCAAGAATACAGTGTATCACTTGCCCCAGACTGAGAGTTCCTATCTATACCTTGTGGCTAATAGCCACTGATGAACCTCTGCTCCATATGTTTATCCAGTTCCCTCTTGAAGCCATCCATGCTTGTAGCTGCCACCACCTCCTGTGGCAGTGAATTCCATGTGTTAATCACTCTTTGGGTAAAATGTAATGACTGAAAGGGGTAGTTGTGTTTGTAGCATCTGGAGAATTTGAGATCAGTCTAAAGCTTAAAATTTCTTCTAGAAATTAGATTTTAGACTTGTTTAAAAATGCACGGAGAAGCAGAAACAGTAGACATGAAGTTGCGATACACTATGTTTGATTCTTTTTAAAAACAGAATTATTTCTTATATATTTTAAACTGTTTCTTAAATAGGTATCCATTTGAGCCTCCCAAGATCCGCTTTCTGACTCCCATCTACCATCCCAACATTGACTCTTCTGGAAGAATTTGTCTTGACGTTCTCAGACTGCCACCCAAAGTAAAGAATGCTGCTTTAATGGAATTCTTTGACAGCAGCTATAATTGGCAAGCCCAAGTGTTTGCACATGAGTGCAAATCCTGGCACGTGTATTGTGCAAAGAGACCTTCTGCTGTATTTACTGGTGTTATTCTATTGACTTGGATAGGAATTACTAATAGGCTAATTTGTCGGGGCTTCTTTATGAGGCTGAATTGTTTTATATTGCTTGCCTTTAATGTTTGCAAAGACTTTATGATTTTTTTTTTGTGGTTGCATACATTGCTTGATATTTTGATTGCTGCCTCCTTATCTATTGCAGTGATGCCTGGAAGACCTGACAGGGGGAGCATGGTTTGTGTCTGCTTTATAAACCATATTCTTGTTTCTACTCCCCTCCTCCCAGTAATACTGCATTTCTTTCTGTGAAGGGTGCGTGGAGGCCATCACTGAATATTGCAACTTTGCTGACCTCCATACAAATGCTTATGAATGAGCCCAATCCTGATGACCCTCTCATGGCTGACATAGTAAGTTTCCTCCTCTTAATTTGTGTGTTTGATTTTGAACATTAAACTGCCATGTCACTGCTTGCTGCACAAGGAGATATGGTTTGTAGGATCTATCCAAAGCACCCATCTGACATTTAAGCATTACAAAAAACTCTGCATTTGGGAGGTTGAGTGGGTAGGAGAAGAGCAGAGAATAGGGTATCATGTTATCTAATTGTGTTGAACACACTGGCTTATTTGCTTTTTTGCAGTACATTATCTTCTAGATCCAAAATTGATTAATACTATTTCTAGCCAGTCTATCTAAGGAAAAGTGTTAATTCTGAAGCAGTGAATAATGTGCAAATAGAGGGTGTGATCCAGCAGAGTTGTTAGCAGAAAGAAAGATGCGGTTTGCTGCACTACCCTCCCCCCATCAGTCCCTGCTGACTCTAGGAAGTTGATTTGCCGAGTTGCAGGATGTCACATGAATTGGGAGGCTGCAGTGTGACAGATGAATGTGGCAAAGTTGGTCCCTTCCTCCATCTTCTGCAGGCATAGCAACACAGCCTTATAAATTTCTGTTTTCATAAATTCTTTTGGTTCCAGTGTGATATCCGTGTGGGTATTGCAACCCTGGGAATTGTTTCCCCGAAGGTGGGAAAGACTGCTGGGGGAAGAAGAATGCGGCAGAGATCTGCATCCACTATAGCACCTTCTGCTGCGGATTGCTGGATCCAGCTTAGACTTTTGAAACTGGATGATACTTGCATGTTTTATATAAAACATTAGGGCTTCTCTGAAAGATTAGTCTTCTTAAATAGGGTTAAACAATTTACTGTGCTGTCTAGTAAATCTGCCATCAAACGTAAGTATGGCTTATGACTGAGAGGCCATAATTACTCTTTGTCTCTTGGGTTTTTTTAATTATGTCTAGTCCTCTGAGTATAAATACAACAAGCAAGCATTCCTGAGAAATGCCAGACAGTGGACTGAGAAATATGCAAGCCAGACAACTATGGTAAGAAATATACATAATTTGTTGTAAAGGTTGTGTGTGTGCGTGCAGATAAGGTTAATCTTCACGTGTGTAGTCTTGCTGTACCCAATGAAATATTTCAGATCTGTGTCATTTAATTGTCTTCATGTAATTAAGTTTGTGGAGTGGAAGTACTGTGAATGTGCCATGATACACAAGTGTCTGCATTTAACTCTTCCTTTCCGGGATACCTTATTTTTGGCTGGATAGGTTTTTTCTTGGTTTCCATGTAGCACGAAACATCACAGAAAAATGCAGGAATTTTTCAGGTGAGGGTTTATTGCAGTTTATGTCTGCCTGATCTCGTAAAACATGCCCTGAGTAAGCGTTTTGGGACTTTACCCTGTTACAATAATATTTGGAATTCTGTCTGACTTGCAACTTGTTCCTAAAACCTGTGACAACATGCACATGCTTAGTGTTGATGTAGAGGGGGAAATTGATCAGTAGAGAAGAAAGGGTTTTGGTGAAACTGAAAAGGTTTTCCAACTCCCAAAATCACATTGGAAAGATTCAGGGGAACCTGTTGATTCTAGGGAGATGAAACATCTGTTCACTTTTGCTAGACTTGAAGATCAACAAGTTCTCTTTGGAACCCCACCCTCTAAGTTGTAACTTGGTCAATATTCTCTCCTGGTTTGTTGTGTGTCTAGTAATAATGATTGTAGTATCTGTTGGGCACGTAGTTCGCTGAAGGAGAACAGCATGCAGAAATTGTGATTTCTTTCCTCCCCTTGATGGAAGATTGTAGCAGGCTTGGAAACTTTTAACATTTTTATTGTATTGCCTTCTCCTTGTATCCGGGAATGTAAGCTTCCCCTGCCTACCCCACTGGCCAAACCCAAAGTAAATAGTGGGTTTTACTTTACCGTGGAGGGCCAAATAAACAGGGCACAGGGGCCAAGGTCCTCCTGTGCTGCTCCCTTCAGTCACCATGGCTAGTAGTCATTGATGGATCTCTCCTCCATGAATCTGTCTCACCCCCTTTTTAAAACTGTCTGTTTTTGTGAAAATTGATGCAAAATATGAGTTATGTCTATCTGTCTCCCCATTTTCCTTAAGCAATCCTTTTATTTCTTTGTCATCTAGAGGCCCAGCCATCTCCCTAGCTTGTTTCTAGCCCCTGGTATATTTGAAGAAATGCTTATTGTTTGTCTTAATGTTTTTGACAATCTGCTTCTCTCAGAGTCTCTTTTTGCTTGTCTTGTTTTTCCAGAACCTGTGATCCTTTCTGTTCACCCTGATTGGGGAAACCTCCCACTTTTTAAAAAGAAGCCTTTTTTTGCCTTGTCTGGCTTCCTTAATTTGAGTCTTTAACCACAATGGCATTTTTTAGGTTTGGTACCCATCATGATTTGAAGTATGCACTCTATCTCGGCCTCAATTAGTATAGTTTTAAATGATTTCCAGGGATCCTGGATTTGACTCTCTTAATCTTTGCTTTTAACTTCCTTCTGACCAGTCACCTCATTTTAGCAAAGTTCCCCTTTTGAAATCAAAAGTGAATGAAGTTCTGCCTGGAATAGCAGGAGTACTAGGCCAAGGCAAAGCCTTGTAAAGAAGGGATTCCAGAGTCTGGGTGCTAAGGCCAAAAAAGCTATGAATCAGATGCCTGTCTCACCTCTGTTAATGTAGGCATGGCAATCAGGGCCACAGCAGATAATAGATTTTTCTGTGGCTGCTTAAATAACAGTTTGGTCTGTTTCAGTAAAGCACTAAGCGGTCTTCAGTGCCATGACAATTGTATCCTCTACTTATAATTAAACATTCACCAATTTGTGATGAAAAGAAAATCTGTGCTTACTCAGTTAAAACACAAGGGGGCATCTAGGCCTAATAATATAATTCCTTCAAGAAGCTGTTTTTGAAGGAATATGACTATAAAATGAAGAGGCAGCTGAATTGCAGTAAATTCAGTCTATCTTTATCAAGAACACTCCCTTTTCGCATGGTGATTGAATCGCCATACTTTCCAGAGCTTGCTCCCTCCTGTTTAGTATGGAGTAAGTTCTTTGTCTAATGTTCTTTGGAGCTGAAGTGGATGGCCACTAGACACAGAACTTTGTTTATGGTGAAGATTTGATCTTGGAAATTCTGTACTTAACACTTCACTTGGTGACTTTTAGGTGCAGGTGAAGATATGCTTGTTTCCCCAGGCTTATGTTGATGACTGATTTATTGCTTTAGGAGGTTTCTGGTGTTCCACTGATTGTTCTTAAGGGTTATATATTGTTTTAATGGTTTTATTATATTTTAATATTCTATGTGCTGTCTAGAGAACTTCCTTTGTTAGGATTGCAACACATAAATACTTTAAAGAAAGTACTGCGAGGGGTTCCAAAATAGGCTGCCTAGTTTCAGAACAGAGAAAGTAAGATATGAGAATAGAAGAAAAGGAAGTTTAACCACAAACTTAGTTGTTGAGCCACTGAATGTGGCAAGTGATATTTGTGATGGATGGTTTCAAGTTCTACCCTCCAAGAGCCTCAGCCAATCACTTTCAAATGGTGGATTGGAGTGTTGAAAAGGGGGGAAAATAGTTTGGCAGTTTAACTGCTGGTCAACTGTTGGATTTTGATGGGAGAAAGTTAGGGGGCCTGTTGGTCCATTAAAGATTTTAGATATTTTCAAGTTCTATTCCTGTCAAAAAGAGTTAAAAGCCTTTCTGTCCTATGTTATGAGTCTGAATCGAGCAGATCTGTTTTGTGATTGTTGCCCTTTCTCAGGTCCCCGCTCTCCAGTAACTTTGTTACTGTAATACTGAGAGGGCTGTAGAAAAGGAAAACAAACAACCAGGCCACACATACCACTGAAATAAACCTGTTTCTTAGTTGTTTTCATCAAGCCTGCTGTGTGGTTCTTTCAAGCCTATAATCCCCTCATTACAGGCCAAGTGCATGCCAGGGGCCACTCTGAGTCCAGGCACTGCCCTCATTGAGGACTAGAAACTGATGTAGTCCCCCAAACCTCAATTATAAAAATAAAAGTATGGGGGGGGTGGAGTTTGTAGGATGTGAAATTTAAGTCTCTGGTTTCTAGGTCTGCAGATGGGATGCTTTCACAGCTCTTGAGGAGGTGGCAAGAATAGGCTGTGGCAGGTGGGCTGACTGGCCTCAGTTCTGAAGGCAATGCATGTTACGCAGCTCCTGAAGTTCCGGACTGGAGAGCCTGAGTAGTCTCTCCTGATGTGAATGAAGCCATTGGTTCTTTGAGCTGTGTGAACACAGAAACCAAGATTTGTGTTTTTTCTCTCACTTGTTTTTCTCTGATACTATTCCAGGCTTCAGAAAACCCAGATGAAGAGAACCACCAAAGTGAGGCCAGTCAAGTGAAAGGTTCTAATGCTTCCCAGAAAAGGAAAGGAAGTAATATGAGTGGATTCTCCAAAAAGCCTTGCTCAAAAACATAGAGGCTTTGCTGCTGTGCAGTATCCCTGTCTGTCAATGTTTGCTTTTAGTTTTACTTTCCATCTCTTAAATAGGCTTGACATGCTTAATGTACTATTTACACATTATGTAATACCCCTCCAGTCGCTTGAGTGATCTCATTGTAATAGCCACTGTGGGATCTGTCTGTGTTTTTAAAAACATTTTGCTGTTTTACTTGTAGGACTCTTAAATGTTCCTTTGTCTCTTCTTTAATTTTGTTCATGTGTTAAGAATAAACAACAAATATTTAATCTTCCTATGACTAATGGTCATTGATGGATCAGGACCAGTTAGTTTGATAGAGTGATGTGTGCGGATGATTTCAGGCTCATTACTGAGGTAAGGGTTAGGATAAATACTGTTTTATGCACCAGCCTTCCCTTTCTCAGTAATTTTGGAAATTGCAACACACTTTTGGTAAAGTGAACGTGATCTGAAGGACATAGAAGGGTGTACTTTTCATGGATTAGGTCACATGGCTGGACTGAGATATTGGAAGGCTGCAGTAAATTATGATGGGGGTACGTGACTGCTAGCAAATGTGGAGCTGGGAATTTCTCTGCTCCATTGGCCCACTGATCTGAAGCAAAGCACCTAGATTGAGGAGAGCTGGGCGCTGATGCCCGACCCTCGCAGGATTACGTTTGAGTGGCAGTATGGAGGTACCCTACAAGAGGATCTATGCTACTCTCCTGAGCTGCAGGAACTGGATCTCGAGCGTGTGTGGTGCGAACTCCACGCGGAGAATGCGGAACTGCGACAGGAGATGCATGTGATGATGCTGGACCTACCTAGAATCGTCGCTACAGCTGTCCAACACAAGATGCGTGGCAGAGCCCCGGATGGGGGTGGAAGACGGCCAAGGGGCACCACACTGCCCCCTGCACATCTGGCCCAAGTGCTCCCTGCTCTGGGCCCGCCGGGCCAGGCAACCCCAGGGCAGGTTCCCCCCAAAGTACCCCCCGCAGGTCCCGCTCCAGTTGCCCCTCTGCCGAGACTGGATCGGTATCAAAACCTACTGGATGCCACGTTTGATGGTAGCCTGGAGAAGTTGGTGTTTTTCCTAGTGCAGAGATGCAAGTTCCTCCGAGACTGGAGTCCCACCTTTGCCTCAGATGAGCAAAGAGTGGACTACATCGGCTCGTGCCTGAAGGACCGGGCAGCTGACTGGTTCATGGCCCCACATAATATTCAGGGCCGCAAGCTACGTAACGTCAATGCTTTCATGTGGGTGTGGAGGAGACAGTTTGAAGATCCTATGGAGTTAGAGAAAGCACAAACCAGACTACGTTACCTCTGCCAGGGAAACTGGTCGGTGCGAGAGTACTCCGATGAGTTCGAGACGTATGCTGCAAATGTATGGGGTGGCCCGAAGAAGTACTATTCGAGCACTACTGAGCTGGTCTGAATCACGCCCTACTGGTACAGGTCTTGGGGCACGGAAATCCCCTGACCCTCTGTGGGTGGATCAGAGAAGCCAGCAAGGCTGAGAATAGAGCTTCCCTGATTAAGCTGTGCCAACCGAAGGGGGCTCCTAAAACCATGGGACCCAATGCAAGAGGACAATGTGCCAAACCCCGAGATCCAGTGCAGGACCAGAGGATGAGACAAGACGTATCCCTGAGCTGTGGTGAGCCGGGGGACTTCGCTGCTAACTGCCCAACGGATCTTGTCCCTAGAGGAGAAAGACCTCCAGAGCGGTGTAGTTCGGGGGGCCCAGTGAAGCAAGGGGCATTGCACAACAAGCCACCAAAAGCCCTCCAAGCTGATGTGGACGGTGGCCCTGACAGAGCTTCATCCAGCGGAGAAGAAGTCAACCAGCTGGCAGGAAAAGACTGAGACCTGCTGTAAAGGGTGCAAACCAGCAGGTCCGAAAGCAGCTAGCGCCACTTTTGGTGAGCAACACCCCTCCTCTATTCTTTCTGACTGTGTCGGTTATAAACCCCAAGATAGGAACTCAAATAAGAGTGAGGGCTTTAGTTGACACAAATTGAAATAAATAGACTCTGGGTGTTCCAGAGACTTAATAAGCCCTGCTATAGTCACGGGGTATGGGGTCCCAGTGCAAACCCTCCCTGAGCCATTAATATTTACCCAGATGGATGGCTCTGCCATGAAAGCGGCTTGCAAATACCAAACACTACCAGTGGTCATGGGGATGGGGCCCCACTGGGAACAAAGGGCTTTCGTAATTAACTTAGTGGCCCGATTCTCCATGGTGCTAGGCAACCCCTGGCTACGAGACCACGATCCATATATCCAATGAAGTGCGGGAGCCCTATATTTCTCCGTTCCCAAGTGTCATAGGCATGTATGGAAGGCTGAGTGGGGGGAAGCACCTCCTGCTCTCCTGGAACGGGCATGCCTGGCCAACGAGGAGCTTGCTTTGATCCCAATGGAGTACAGGGACCTGGCCAGGGTGTTTGAGGAAGAGGAATCAGACGAGCTTCTGCCCCACCGTAATGCAGACTGTGCTATTGAGATATTGGTGGGGCATAAAATGCCTAAGGGAAAGTTGTATGCCATGAGCCCCACTGAAAAGGAGGAGTTGTGGAAATTCATTGACAAAAACCTGGCTCGGGGCTTTATTCGGCCTGCCCCCTCGCCCTTCGCTGCTCCCATCCTCTTCCGGAAAAAGAAGGATGGGGGGTTGAGGCTTCCATAGTGCCTTGAATCAATATAACTCTCAGGTCTTCCACACTTTTCCCTTCATGAGGTAAATTTAAGTCTTTACATCTTTGGATCAGAGCCTCTTTCTTTAATCCTAGAAACTCTCATTTTTCTGCCTTTTTGTATTTCTTTCTACAATTGTACTGTATTTTACAGAACTCTGTTTATCTCTTATCTCTCTTTAATATGTTCTCTTCCTCCAGATGTTTGTATCCCACTGCTGCCACCACTTGTGACGACCTCCTATTCGGGAGGTCTAGGTTTCTCTTTTAAAAAGTGCTCTTTATTTCTGTAAAACTGGGTATATTTGGCTGCCACCAGGAATTTAAGGATTTCCAAACCTTCTGTTTCTCTTATTACAGGCTCAAGGCTTTTCAGGGATCCATTGTGGTCCAGAGGAAGAATTGATATGAATTCTGGGATACTTTTAAATAACATAGGATTTATTGAAAGGGGAACAAAATAAGAAGTTGGTAATTATTTAACTGGTTGGGAATAAGGTTTCTGTAAATTTTTCGGCCTTTTTGTATTTCTTTCTACAATTGTACTGTATTTTACAGAACTCTGTTTATCTCTTATCTCTCTTTAATATGTTCTCTTCCTCCAGATGTTTGTATCCCACTGCTGCCACCACTTGTGACGACCTCCTATTCGGGAGGTCTAGGTTTCTCTTTTAAAAAGTGCTCTTTATTTCTGTAAAACTGGGTATATTTGGCTGCCACCAGGAATTTAAGGATTTCCAAACCTTCTGTTTCTCTTATTACAGGCTCAAGGCTTTTCAGGGATCCATTGTGGTCCAGAGGAAGAATTGATATGAATTCTGGGATACTTTTAAATAACATAGGATTTATTGAAAGGGGAACAAAATAAGAAGTTGGTAATTATTTAACTGGTTGGGAATAAGGTTTCTGTAAATGAACTTGTCCACTGTAGCACTTTAACACCCATATACTGATCCTTCTCGGATCCCACACAGATTCTTTAGTCTCTCTCACTCTCTGACTCCACACAGCATTGTCAGAGGTCTCACTGACTGAAAATCAACTGCACAACATCAACTGCTTTTTCACCAACTGTCATTATTCCAACTGTCATTCTCCAATCTCTCACTGACACACCCACACAGAACCACACAGAATAACTCCTCCCACACTCTGCCATCCACCAATCATACTCCACATGTCTCTTTCCATCATTCTACCCCTAGGTGGCAGGGGGCACCCTCCTTGTGGGCGGCATGCAGCAGGAGCATCGGCGGCGGCGGCAGAGCGATTGACGAGCGGCCCTGGCGACCTAGTGAGCATGACATTGAGCGGCAGAATCCGGGCGGAGACGAAATCGTGGTGACGTGGCGGCGCGGCGGAGCCAGTAGGACATGAGCCGGAGCTGCGGCTGGCACAGGGCCATGCACCAGGATGAGTCCGCCAGAGAGAGTCGCTGACTTAAGACCCGTTCCAAGGCGCCAGGAGATAGAACACTGAGAAGAATAACATCCGAAGCCCGCTTGGAAGAGCCGTATAACTCCTTCAGCTATTTTATCTGGCAGATTCCAAGGGATTCCCTATCCTAGCAGGTGCTGTCCTTGTAGGAAGGATTGTGTTGAAACTGTTGCCCATGTTCTCTTCCAGTGCCCTCTCTATTTGGTGTCCCGTCGGGATCTTCTATATCCCATATTAGGCCATTTTTTAGAGTCCCCTGATGATTTTAAGCTTCTTTTCTTGCTCGATAACACAGACACAGAAATAACTGAAATAACAGCAAAGTTTCTCTGCAGTGCCATGGCCCTACGGCCTGATAAATGATATGATGAATTAGGTTTTTCTTTATGATGATACTCTGTGATGTTACTCGGCAATTTTAATTTGATTCTGTGTGTACTTAGATTACTGTGAGAGCCGTATAACAACAGAGCTCTGCTGCCTGGGTGCCGGTACGCAGTCACTCCCCTATATAATGTGGCCCTAGATAGGTAACTAAAATTGTATGTAAATCGCTCAGAGACCCTTCGGGGTTAGAGCGGTATATAAACTGAAAGTTAAAATAAAAATAAAATACTCTGCATTCTGCACTGCAACCAAACCTTTAAAGAGACACACACACTCTAACACAAGGAATCATCACAGTATCCACCACTAATGCTTATCCCCTCCTGTTAATCAAAGACCTCTTGACGAAGAAGAAGAGATTGGATTTATACCCCGCCCTTCACTACCCGAAGGAGTCTCAGAGCAGCTTACAAACTCCTTTCCCTTCCCCTCCCCACAACAAACATCCTGTGAGGTAGGTGGGGCTGAGAAAGCTCTGACAAAAACTGCTCTTTTTCAAGAACAGCTGTGCCAGAACTATGGCTTGCCCAAGGTCATCCAGCAGGTGCAAGTGGAGGAGTGGGGAATCAAACCTGTTCCTCCCAGATTAGAGTTTGCG